CGAAATCTTCCTCATAACGAGTGTGCATCCTTCCAGGTGTAAGGGTTCCCGTTCGTTTTCCATCCGAAATTGAGTTTGTGAGAGCTTGACCAAGCTAGGGTCGAGTTCTGTTTTCGTTCGAGATCTAATTCCTGACCAAGCTAGCTGTCTGCGCGACTTTGATCCCTTGAGACCTGAGTTTGGGCTCATCAAGTGGCATCTAGAGCCTGGTTCAACACAGTGGACACAAGCGCGGAGATAACGAAGGAGGGCGGCGCCGGAGCAAGTCACTGGACGAGGTTGAAGGGCCCTGTCTCAGGTGACCCTGCCCTGCTGTTATCCGAACAGAAAAAGAAGAAGAAACAAGCAGCAGCAGCTGCATCAAAGAATCAAACTTCCAACCCTGTAGCCGCTTCTCTTCAATCGGAATTGACGATGGGAGAGGCTCAACCTGTTACGATGGCGGGGCTGCAGCAGTTCTTTCAAGAGCAAGTGGTTGCTCTGCTCCAAAAACAGCTGGACAAGCAAGAAGAAAAATTCCAGGACATCAACAATAAATTTGATGCTCTGACTCGACAAGTAACGATGCTGCGACGGCAGGAGGAACCAATGGCGGCGATGCCACTCAGAACTCAGGCCGCCCATGAGCAGGGGTTTCCGCCGCCGACAAATCAAGGCAACCCGGGAAGGAACGGGGCAGAGACTCATGATCAAGCTCTGGCAGAGCGTGTTATGGAGCTCGAAAGACAGTTGATGACTCTGGACGTTAACAATCTGGACCAGCAACCGCCAAATCACCAACGGGCAGAGGTGTTGCGAGGAACAGAGGAGGTGCCCGTATCGGAATTGAGGGGAATTAAACTCTCGATTCCAGCCTTCCAAGGAACAATCAATGCTGCTGCATATCTGGATTGGGAGAGGAAGATTACCTTTTTTTCCAGTGCGGCAACTATAGCGATTCGCAGAAGATCACATTGGCGACGTATGAATTCACTGATTATGCTGCGACATGGTGGGAGAAGGTTCAATTAAGGAGAAGAAGGAACTTGCAGGTTCCTGTGGCGAAGTGGGAAGAGTTAAGGGGATTGTTGAGAGAGCGCTTTGTGCCTGCATATTATCAACGCGAGTTATACGAGTCATTGCAAGCAATTCGGCAGGGGTCGAGGTCCGTTGATGACTATTACAAAGAATTGGAGCTGTTAATGGTTAGAGCGGATGTGAGAGAGGATCAGGAGGCGACGATTTCGCGCTTTCTTCATGGCCTCAACAGGGAAGTTCGAAATGAGGTGGAGCTACGTCAATTCGTGGATTTGGAAGAAGTGGTTCACCTTGCTATCAAGGTTGAACGGAAATTGAAGGCTGGATCGGGACGCCGATTTCAGAACACAACTCCTCGGCAGAGTGCTTCCATTGAAACAATTCCTCAGGAGGTAGCTGCTCCAACTCGACCAGTCATGGCACGTTCCGCAGGATAGAGTAGTGCTCCAGGTGTACAGGAGAGAGTTGGAGGAACGACCAGTAGATTGGAGTGCTTCAAGTGCCACGGTCGTGGTCACAAATCGTTTCAGTGCCCGAACACGAAGACCTTGGTTCTTCGCGACGGATAATACTACTCCAAGTCTGAAGTTGAAGACAGCAAGATCAATGATGACTCCACCGATGAGGAAGTAGAGGAAGAGCTCGTTGTGGATCCCCCTCTAGGCAAATTTACAATGGTGAACAAGCGTGCTTTGACGATTGATGCTGAAAGTGAATCCCAGCAGCGAAGTAATCTGTTTCACACACGCTGTCGAAGTCAAGGAAATCTGCTCTCGCTGGTAATCAACGGTGGTAGCTGTACCAACGTTGTAAGCCTGGAAACGGTAAGAAGACAGGGCTTAACACAATCAAGCATCAGGAGCCTTATAGCCTTCACTGGCTGAATGATCATGGAGCAGTACGAGTGACAAAACAAGCTTGGGTTGATGTTGAGCTGGGACATTACAAGGATCAAATTTTGTGCGATGTTGCGCCGATGCAAGTGGCTCATGTGCTTCTTGGACGAACCTGGCAATTTGATCGTGGAGTAACTCACCATGGACGCACCAATTGCTACACTTTTGAACATGGAGGGAAGAAGCTCAAGCTCACGCCGTTGTCACCGGCGGAAGTCCGAGATGACCAACGTCAGCTGGCGGCTAATCGAGCTAAGGAATAAGGCGGGTCGCGAAAAGAAAGCAGTCTCCTCGTTCGACGGTATGCACTAACCACCTTGCTGCGTCCTATGGGGTTTCGAAGCCGATCAACTCCCCCACTCTGTTGCTCGCCGACGGCAATACAGGGGACGAGCGAGATTGAATTGGGTGGGGAAGATGGGACCAGCCCAGGTCGAGCCAAAGACGTCGACACGTTCTTCAAGAACCCAGGAACGTGTAGCAGGGATCAATTGGGGCCGAATCACGTCGTATCGAAAAGCCCCAACTTGCAATTTTCGGACCGAACAACGACGAACAACAAGGTCAAGGAGTGTGAATTGGTCGTGGCGTTTGGGCGTGATTCGCGATTATTGGGCACGGTGGACAAGCTCAAAATCGTCCAAGGAAGCTCGAGGGTCGATCAATTGGACGAGGAGAAGCCGGGAGAAAAAATACCCAATTTCGATTTGGGGTCGCCGGAATCTGGATTCACGTCGCCGAATTCTGGGAAATTTGAACTCTCCGATGGCGGGAAAAACGAGCATTGCGATTGGGGTCGGTTCGGCCATGAACGGACCTGGAGGATGGTTGGGGTCAACTCCTCGAAGCTAGGGGAATCGTTCTCAAGCAACAATTTGGGACGAGAAGGTGCTGAAGGGAAATTCCCAATTTTGGAATCCTCGCCAGAAGTTTCGCCGTCGCCGGAAACTGCAAATTTTTTGGTCAGATTTTTATTTGAGCAGCCTTTTTTGGATCCAGTTTGGGATCAATTCTGTAGGTCTTTTGAGGAGAAGAAGGGCAAAGCTTTGAGGGCAAAGCTTTTTCAACATGGGGGGCTTGATATGATCCCAAACCTCTCGAATTACAACCCTCAAAGGATCGATCAAAAAGCAGGATCAATCACGGATAAGGAGGGTGAATTTTGTCCAAGTCATTTTTATGTTACAGGATACCATCTTTGGAAGCTTGCTACGCTCAAATGGATCGAAGGAAATACAAGGCAAGAGTTTGGGGCTGGACTAGAGATGTTTCTCTACATGATGGAAGCATTCGATAAGCCAGGAGAAGCCATTTTGATGATTTTCCAAAGCCTCCAAGTTGCTAGCCAGAAACTGGAATTTTGTTCAAAAATGGCTAAGTCTGGGACTGAGTTGGAGGTGACTACTATAGGGCTTCATTCCGGACAGATGGGGGAGAACCATGGCCAGAGACGAGTACCCCATGAAACTACATTTCACAATCTACAACGTAAGGGCATTGGTTGAAGAATTGGAGTTCGTTTGATCCTTGAACAAGGCGGCCAAAGTAACTATGTTAAGCTGTTTTATTTCCTTGTAATGTAAGACTTGATTTCCTTGTGCCGCAAGGATTAGCAGTAGTTATTGTTATAGTTGAACTAGGATTAGTGTTGATTCCTTTTAAGCGTAGGATGGTGGTTGTAATTGCCTATAAAAGGCTTGGAACGTGAAGGGGTTGAACAGAACATGTTGATTGAATGAATTTTATTCCAATTCCCAAACTTGAGAGTTTGTGAGTTTGATTGGTTTTTGGTTGCGATCAAAGACTTGCTGACCTTGCTTATCAATCGAGAATCGCCATCGATTGCATCGAAATCTTCCTCATAACGAGTGTGCATCCTTCCAGGAGTAAGGGTTCCCGTTCATTTCCATCCGAAATTGAGTTTGTGAGAGCTTGACCAAGCTAGGGTCGAGTTCTGTTTTCGTTCGAGATCTAATTCCTGACCAAGCTAGCTGTCTGCGCGACTTTGATCCCTTGAGACCTGAGTTTGGGCTCATCAAGTGGCATCTAGAGCCTGGTTCAACACAGTGGACACAAGCGCGGAGATAACGAAGGAGGGCGGCGCCGGAGCAAGTCACTGGACGAGGTTGAAGGGCCCTGTCTCAGGTGACCCTGCCCTGCTGTTATCCGAACAGAAAAAGAAGAAGAAACAAGCAGCAGCAGCTGCATCAAAGAATCAAAATTCCAACCCTATAGCCGCTTCTCTTCAATCGGAAATTGACGATGGGAGAGGCTCAACCTGTTACGATGGCGGGGCTGCAGCAGTTCTTTCAAGAGCAAGTTGTTGCTATGACGACTGAAACATAGCAAACTATAAGCAGGCCCGCAACATAGATGTATGGGAGAAGGCTATGACGACTGAAACTGATGCTCTTGAGTAGGGGTGGAAATCGGTACGGTATGGATATCCCAATACCAAATACCGAAATCCCGAATACCGAATTATACCCGAAAATCAACCCAATCCCAATCCCCAAATAATTTCGGTATCCCAATCCCAATCCCTAAATATTCCGGTATCCCAATCGGTACTTCGCTATCCCAATCGGTATTATCGAATACGAAATTAATTACATTTGAAATAAATAATTAAATATATTATAAATTAGATTTGATTGTTTAATTTAGGGCAAAGAGACTAAGCAAAGAGTATTGAGTTTGCTTAAAGCTAGAATATGGATAAGGAGAATGAAGGAGAGGTGACATCTCAAGTTTTTGTCATTGGTCATCTTTAATTTAAGAAATTTGAGGCTGAGAGACAACTAATACTAGTATTTAGTTTTTGGTGTTATGAAAATAACAAGTGATTAGGTGAGAGATGAGATTGACTTAAATTGAAAAGTCAAAATTGAGTTGGATGGGGGACTTCTAAGTTGTGAAACAAAGATGGAATGATCTATGTATAATTAAATGACACTTTTGATGGTTGAGGGTCGTGTAGTTGTGAATATGAGAGTCTAGTTGAGAGGATAAAATACACAATAGCTTATATTTCTGTATTGATCGGTATTTCGGTATATACCGATCCCAATCTCGTAATCCCTAATACCGAATTACAATTGAAATTCAATCCTAATCCCGATCCCAAATAATAATAAGTGTATTCGGTAATACCAAATATAGACAAATTCGATAGGGTATTCGGTATATCCCAAGTACCGGTACCAAACTCCCAGCCCTACTCTTGAGGCTCAACATACGTGGAATTTAGTACCTTGCCGGCCTGAAATGCCAGTGATCGGCAACAAATGGGTTTATGCTCTCAAAGAAAATCTGGATGGATCGATTGAACACTTAAAGCAAGGGTTGTTGCTCATGGTTTTAAACAACAATATGGTCTGGATTGTGATGAAACATTTGCTCCATTTGCCAAAATGCAGACGATCCGTAGTTTGCTTGCTATTGCAGCCATGAAGGGGTGGCGCCTACTCCTTCTAGAAGCGTAAAAGTGTAAAGCATTTTGGTGAACTAGAAGCGTAAAATCGTAAGTTTATAAGTCTTAAAGCGCAATTCAGTCAGATTTTACACATTATAGATTTTATATGCAACGAAAGCGTTTTGGTGACCTAGAAGCATAAAATCGTAAGTTTTTAAGTTTTAAAACGCGATTTTGACTGCATTGGTTGTGGTTCACACATTTAGGTGTCTACTGCACTTGCAGATTGTATGTCTATTTGAACATACTTGCAAAAGATATAAAGTTGCATAGTTAAGTGTAGGTGTTGGTATAATTGTACAAGTTAGGTTGGTTTTCGAACTGATTGAGAGTAGTAGTATACTTGATCGTATTTAATTAAATAAAGCATGCTCAATTGCTTATCCATAACAAAAAAATGTTGCTGTGACATGAAAATATCAAACACTATATGTGCATTCTTAAATCATTCATAACAGAAGAATGTTGCTTGGTGAATAATCCCAAATAGGTACATCTTTAAGCAATTAGATATATAAACTTTTTTTTGGTATATGGATGCAGAAGCATCCTAGATTTCATTCAAAACCAAGCGAGGTTCAGAGAGCCCCTGAGAGTCATACATGAGAAAGTTATACTGAAGGGAAACTGAATGTGACATGTCATGTACACCCGACGGCAAAGAATGCCCATGGTTAGCTAAGTAATCAGCACATTTGTTGGCTTCACGATAGATATGGGAGGTTTTGACTTCCCACCCTTGGCGCATAAGCTCCTGATAACGGGCCACAACAGCAGTATGATGGTGGGTGTCCGTGCTCCTGCTCTCAAGCAACTGGATAACACATCTCGAGTCCAGCTCAACACGAACACGACGATATCCAAGGTTCCAAGCCAACTGAAGACCTTCTACAGCTCCTCTCAACTCGGCCTAGGTAATGGAGCAATAACCCAAGTTGCAGCGAACGCCGCCAGGCAGAGCACATTGTGATCTCGAATCAAGCCACCAGAAACAACATGCCCGGTATCCTAAATGACTGAATCATCTGAGTTGAGAGTGACCCACTCGGGAGGCGGCGGTTTCCATGAGATCTCAACCTCCGTTCTTGTGGGCAGGATAGGCGTATGAATGAGCCTATCCTTTTCCAGAGCTGTCCGTACGACATTAATCCAAGCTCGGATTCGCTGTAGAAACATCTCAGGAGTGGTGATTTTGTTGTCGAAGACTCTCTCATTCCTTGTCTTCCATAGAGCCCAACAAATGAGGCCGAAACTTAGACTGTAATCTGGGTGGTGGAGATAACGAAGTATCCAATCCTGCAGGGGCATACCGAAGAACGCTAGGTGATCAGAAAGCTGGATGACCTGCATCCAAATAGACTGGGGGAAATAACAGTCCCGCAACACATGCAGGACTGTTTCAATGCCATCGTTGCAGTGTGTGCATCTTCGGGTGGTGGATATATGCCGCCAATGTCTCTCATCATTGGTAAGTAGCCTTTCCCTTGCTGTTAGCCAGAGGAAGTGTGTCGTCCTTGCGGGCCCCTTCCAGCACCAAATCTTGTTCTAGTCCAGCGATTGTCCCGTGTCGGCCTGGCCAATAGCGATTTCGTACGCCGACTTGACACAGAACTGTCCATTCGCTTTAGGCCCCCAAAAAGCTTCATCTTCACCTGCCTCCTCCCTCGGCGCCGGACTGGCCAGCACCTGCAATGCAATTTCACGCGGTAAACAGGAGAGGAGGAAATTCTCGTTCCACTTACCACTCTCTTCGAAGGCTGCCGTGATTGGGATCGTGGGGTCTACGAGCTGGCTGTCTCCGCGGATATGGTCGATGAGCGTCAAAGCCGGGTCAAGCCATCTGTCGGTCCAGAAAGCAGTACTTCGGTCGTCCTTTACACACATAGCCATGCCTTCTTGCATTAATGGCCAGGATCTCCTCATTCCCCACCACAAAGTCAAACAACGGGCCACCGATTTGGGTGTCAACACACCACCAGCTAGCTTGAAATATTTAGCCTCTATAACCTTGACCCACAAATCATCTATATTTTTAAGAAAACACCACGCTAACTTGGCAAGGAAAGCAAGATTTAACTCATGAGCTTTCTTAAGACCCAAACCTCCCTTCTCTTTCGGTTGACAAACTTGCTCCCAATGAACCAGGTGCACCCTTCTCTTGTTTGTGGTCGAACCCCAGATGAAACGCCGGATCCGTTTGTCAATTTCGTCGCAGATTGAAATAGGTAAGAGAGTGGTTTGCATGGCATACGTAGGCAAAGTGTTGAGGACTGATGTTGCCAGAGTGATCCTCCCTGTAAATGATAAGGCCTTCGCCCTCCAGCCTGCTAATTTCTTGTCAAGCCTGTCCAAAATATATTTATATGTCTCTCTAGTGACTCGACCATGAAGCACCGGCACACCCAGATAACGACCTAACTCTTGTGTGGCTGGGATTTCCAGGGTGCGGATGATATCTCCTTGAGTGGTGCGGTCTGTGTCACTACAAACTTTTCTTTGCTCACCATTTCTCCCGATGCCAAGCAGAATCTATCTAGACAGTCAAGGACGGACCTACCTTGTTGAACTGTCGTCTCTACAAACAAAATGAGATCATCAACAAAAAAAAAAGGTGCGAGGGAAGAGGACCTCGAGGTGACGTCTTAATTAGTCTCCAGCTCCCTTCCCTTACTGCCTCCTTGATGACGTGGCTTAAGCGTTCCATACATAAAGTGAACAAGTAGGGTGAGAGGGGGCATCCCTGCCGCAGTCCACGAGTAGGAGTGAAGGGATCAGTTTGAGTTCCGTTCCATAGAACCTGCATGGTGACCGAAGATACACAGTGCATGACCACGTTGATAAAACCCTCTGGGAAGCCGGCCTACTCAAGGGTTTCACGAAGGAAGGTCCAGCTCAGGCGGTCGTAAGCTTTAGCTAGGTCCACCTTAATTACCATATGACCACACTTTCCCTTCTTCTGCCTCATAGAATGCAAAACCTCCTGTAGGATGATGATGTTATCCGTAATATGCCGGCCAGGGACAAAGCTGGTTTGCGTTTTATGAACTAGTTGCTGCATCATAGGCTTAATACGATTAGCCAAACATTTTGCAAGGGATTTGTAGATAACATTGCAAAGTCCAATAGGGCGGAACTGGGCAATCATCTCCGTGCTTTCCTTCTTGGGAATCAACACCAGCACTGTGTCATTGAAATCGGTTATGCGGTGTGGGCGGTGGAAGCAATCACTCACCAGTCTCACGAGGGAATCCCCGATCTGTTTCCATCGATTCTGATAGAAGAGCGTTGGGTAACCGTCCACGCCTGGGGCCTTGAGGCCACGCATTTCCTTCAGCGTCCGCCAAATCTACTCCCGCAGTAGTCCACTGTTCAGCAAAGGATGATGAGAATCCTCAATGGCCTCAAAAGTGGCTGGAATACGGGGGGCATCACCCTCTTCCCGCGTGAAAAGCACACTATAGAACATACGTGCATGGGCCTTGAGGAGCTCATCATCCTCTATCCAATGCCCCTCCTCATCATGTAGACCAGAGACCTTGTTGAATCGTCGGCGCTTTAGAGTTGCCAAATGGAAATATCTCGTGTTCCTATCTGCCTTCACAACCCACGAGCTCCGAGATTTTTGAAGCCACAGTAAATGCTCCTGGCGTAGGGTGGATTCTAGCTCAGCCCGGGAATCATTCTCCTCTTTCTGCTCAGCTTCACTTGCTCCCCTTCCATTTCGTGCTTCAACCTGACAAAGTTGTCGAGCTAGCCTCCTCTTTCGGTGGATAATATAACCAAACACTTCCTTGTTCCAGTTTTTCAAGTCCTTTGTCAAAATTGGCAGCATGCAGGACAACTCATTTTCTCTACTGTAGGCCTCCCCCACCACCCTTGGGAAATCCTCATGTTCCACCCAAGCTGCTAAGAATCTGAAGGGCTTGATACCTCGAGTTCTTGAAACCTGCGAGCCTTGCAAAACAATAGGGCGATGATCGGAGCCGATCCTCTCTAGGTGTTTGACAATCGAGTGCGGATACTGTAACAGCCACCTGTTATTGCAGAGGGCCCGATCGAGCTGCTGATAGAGATTTCCCCTCCTCCACGTGTATCTGGGTCCGGAGAACTGGATGTCCATTAAGCGAGATGCATTTACGCATTCTTGAAAGGGTCGCGACCGCGCCTCATTGTAAGCCGCTCCTCCCCTCAGATCAGCAGGTCCGAGAATCGCATTGAAATCGCCCACCAAACACCAGGGGAGGGTCGATTCGTCCGCCAACCGTCTTATTTATTCCCATAGATCATTTCTCAAAACCGCATTCGGACTACCATACACTGTTGAGATCAAAACCTCAGTTCCCGGTGAGCTGCTTCGAGCACATCGCATATGGATCATCTTATTCCAGGCACAAAGAGACGTGACACAGAGGTCTTGCTTATGCCACAATACCCAGATACCACCTGAGAATCCCATCGCACCAATCTTCAAAATACCATCGAAACCAGTACGAGAGATCATTGTGTTTGCTATAGTCCCGCTGATCCGCAGCTCCACAATGACGACCATGTCAGGCCTGTTATTTACAACAAAAGAAAATAAATACTCAAGAAAAAGATCACCTCATGCCCCCCGAAAGTTCCAAGCTAATATGTTTATCATAAAAATAAACACAAACGGATGACGAGGAAAGAAACTTCCCTGTCTGTTGGACAATCCGACTAAGAGCGATCAATGACTTCAGAGGATGGGTTGGTGCCCTTCCTCCCCGAATTCACCGTGTTGACACACTTTGTATTAGCAGTCTCTGCTCTTGGATTGTGGGTCCCAGGAGGCTGTCCGGTATTGATAGCAGATTGACCACCTTTGCCCTTCCTGGATGGGGTGGCAACTTGGTGGGTTGGTTCTTGCTTAGACCGAGGGTCCATGTGAGTTTTCGAGGGAGGTGTGTTCCGCAGAGTCGTCTCTTCTTGTCTGGGGACACTTAGAGCTTCCTTGGTATTCTTCCGTGCTTGTATCAAAACGGGTTTTGCGGGAGTGGGTTCACCTTGTATCGCCTTAGGGGTTGCGTGGGCGGTGATAGTCGGAAAAGGCCCCTTCTCGCCAACAACCTCTACTTCCTGTGGGGCCGAGGTCTCCATAGGAGAGCTGGTAATAATGGGAGGAGCATTTGGCGCCTCCATAGGAGTGGTTTGAGCCTCCCTTGTTATCTTGACTTCATTTACTATCGGGGCTTCCATAGATTCAGCATGATGGGGTTCCCCATCCTCCTTCTCTACAGCCAGCGCCTGGAAACGTGAACCATTAATGCTAGTCTTCCCATGGTTGTTCTTGTCCGTGTTTGCCTGTCCTTTACTATATTTGTGTCTTGGTTTGGCCATCATCCACTCGCCATAAGTAGGTGGAGGGGCAGCCTCCGATTGCGGAGTCGGTGTCGAACCAGTGGGCTCCGGGGTCGGTCGAGCTAATGAGGGGCAGCCGAATTTTGAATGTCCATACCGAACACATTCCATACAGATGTTGAAAAGCCCCTCAAACTCAATATAGTAAGTGATTCCTTCAATCTTGTACTGTGAAAGGAGGGGTTTTGTTAGATCCACCTCAACACAAACACGGGCATACTACCCACGATCCCCGTTTTGTGTAGCTCGATCAACTTTGATAGGCCAACCAATGAAAGAGGCGATACGTTCCATAGCCTCCCTGTTGATGAACTCCCGGGGGAGGCCTGGCAGCTTCGTCCAAACCATCGTTAAAGCCACCTCCGCCATTTTGGGATTGAAGTTCTTCCTCCACGGCCTGACGGTGAGGTAGTAATCCCCAACCCGCCACGACCCTCCTATCGCTGCTTGCTCGTAATCGAATTTGCTTGTGAATCTGGAGGTCAAGCTTGATATTTGTAGCGTACCGCATTTCCCCCAAATACTTTGGAGGCGACGAGCGATCACCGGGAAGGGGAAGGTGTGTCCCAGCACCTTAACTATGAGCGCCGATATCCATTCACGACGCCATCGTTGCTTTTCCATCGCTTTGAAAGGGATGGTAGGGCAGCGAGGGTTATCATCTTTAGGGACCACATCATCCAAGTCATCTTCTCGCATGGCAGCTGCAACATCCTCCGAATCGGACTCCGGTACGTACCACTCGTCATGGCTATGCATATCGTTAAAGAGGTTTCTGGTACCTTTGGTCCATGCAGATTCCGTCGTGTGATTAGTGGCCTCCTCCTCATGGGTGTGAGGAGATGTTGTGTCTTCATGCATGGGTTCCGTATCAAACAGCGGGTTCTTTGACATAGGTTTCGCCCGCTTCTTTGGCTGTTGAGTTTCGCTGGCTCCCTTTCCGTTCGACAAAGACGACGCAGAGGATGGTCTGCGCATCCCGGCGTTTTGGTCAGGAGGTCCTGCTGCCGGGGGAGCCTCCCCCGATGTGGTCGAGTCCATAGGGAGCGCGCTGGCGCTAGGGTTTTCGTCAAAACTTACAATCGCCGCTCCGTTAAGTACGCAACCCTTATTCCAAATAATACTTCTTATTAGATATATAAACTTGATTGTTTATAAAAAAAAAAAAAAAAAAAAACTTGACCTACTCAACTCCAAGTGGATTCTCTAAAGCCGTATTAAATGGGCCAGAGTCAGGCCCAATTGGATCCAATGATTTCGGACCTATCCCTTCACGGGAAAGGAAACACTGCGCGGTGAGAGCTCGAACATTCAACCAGCGAACTATCCGTTACCTTCTCCAACGGCTACACGCAAAATTCTTTTTTGAAACTTCAGAGACCCCAAAATCCCCAATCTCCTTTCATACTCTCCGCTTGGAGCTTTCTCCCGCCTCTTCACTCTTCCTCTTTCTCTCTCCACTTCATTGAGCATCCGATCTCTCGTCTCTCAAATTCTAGATTTCCATTCAAAATTTCCCAAAATCCCGCCCAAAGATCCAAGCTTTCTCTCCTCTTTCGACTCTCGCTCAGAGATGGCTCCGACGCCATCTTCTTCCTCCAAATTGAACCCTACCCATAACTCTTTCAAGACTCCCCAATCCAAACAGCGCCTCAATTTCACCCCCGGTAGAACTCCCAACCACCAACCCTCGCCAAACCCTAATCCCGCCGTCAGAGAAGTCCAGCCGATCGACCACCCGATCGAGGTCATCGGACGCATCAGGGATTTCCCCGACCGGAAGGAGAAGCCGGCTTCAGTGTTGACCGTGAACCCCGACGGCGAGACAGTCAGAGTCCGGGCGGAAATCGGCTACAGGGACTTCACCCTCGATGGGGTTTCTCTGTCGGAGCAGGAGGACATTGATTCGTTCTACAAGAAGTTCATTGAATCGAGGATTACTGGGGTGAAATTGGGGGAGAAGTGTACGATTATGATGTATGGGCCGACAGGTTCGGGGAAGAGCCACACGATGTTTGGGTGTCCCAAGCAGCCAGGGATAGTGTACAAGGCTTTGAAGGATATTTTGGGGGAAGGAGGAGGAGAAGAGAAAGGAAGCCGTGAGGAGAAGCTGGGGTTGATGGCTACTTTCGTTCACGTCACTGTTCTGGAGATATATAATGAGGAAATTTATGATCTTTTGTCCAGTAATGGCGGGACTGGAGGGTTTGGAATTGGGTGGCCTAAGGGTGGCAGTGCTTCGAAGGTAAAAACGAGTTATCATGCCTCCTATGTTGGAGCTTCTGATGGGCTTTCCTTGCTTGCTTTTATTGAGTTGGAAAGTTTGGACTTGCTGCTCTTTCCCCTAGTTTTTTTTTTTTTTTTGGGTTCGAATGGGACTTCCTTCATGTAATCTCCTGGTAATGTTTCAGTTTGTTGAACTAGCATAGTAGATAGCTTCTTCTTCCTTACTTTGTTTTCTTGCCTTTACTGTGTCAGAACTTCAGTGACAGCTATAGATTCATTTGGCTAGTTATCTCTCAGGTTCTCTAGGGATCGTTCTGTCCTTATAAGCATAATCTGGCTTACTAATCTGTTCTTGTTAGTTGAATTAACATGGTGGTTCTGTATTTTACTATGTTTGCTTTCACTGTATGAGAACTTCTGAGCCAGCTAGATGTATTAGGCTAGCTCCCTGTCAGGTGAACCCTATCAGTTCATTATTGCCTTTGGCTTATGAGCCGAATCTGTGTTGTGAATGCCAATTTTGCAGGCAAGACTCGAAGTAATGGGGAAGAAGGCGAAAAATGCCACTTTCATATCGGGCTCTGAAGCTAGCAAGATTCTGAAAGAGATTCAGAAGGTGGAAAAGAAGAGGATTGTTAAGAGCACTCTCTGTAATGAAAGAAGTTCCAGAAGTCACTGTATGGTATGTAGGAATTCTTTCCGAGAGTTCATGAAGTTGAATGTAATGCCTAATTCCTTTCTCACTTGGAAAATTTTCTTCCTCTTCATATTTCATTTCATACAGATTATCCTAGATGTTCCAACAGTGGGAGGCCGCCTGATGCTTGTAGACATGGCAGGATCAGAAAACATTGAACAAGCTGGGCAAACTGGCTTTGAGGCTAAGATGCAGGTAGGTAAAGTTGGCAAGTCTAAGTTGCCTTATTATTGTTCTAGAATCAATCTAAGGGAGGTTTTGAGATTGCCTTCATTTGGAATAAACAGACAGCAAAGATAAATCAAGGAAACACAGCACTAAAAAGGGTGGTTGAGTCAATTGCAAATGGAGATTCTCATGTGCCTTTCAGAGATAGCAAGTTGACTATGCTGCTCCAGGTAAAACTTCCTCAGAGTTTGGTGATGGGGTGCAATATCTGCTTTCTTTGACTTCGGATTTTGAGTTTCTTTTTCTTCTGTGGCGCAGGATTCTTTTGAAGATGACAAGTCAAAGATTCTAATGATTCTGTGTGCAAGTCCTGATCCAAAGGAGATCCACAAGACAATCTGCACTCTCGAATATGGAGCTAAAGCAAAGTGCATTGTCCGTGGCCCTCATACCCCAATAAAAGATACCGAGGACCCGAGTTCAGTCATGTTGGGATCCAGGATAGCAGCCATGGACGAGTTCATTTACAAGCTGCAACTGGAGAACAAGGCCAAAGAGAAAGAGAGGAAGGAGGCAAACAAACAACTCATGAAGAAAGAAGAAGAGATAGCTTCCTTAAGAGCCCAGATTGCAGTGCGGGAAGCTATAGTTCCAAGTGAAGAAGAGATAAACTTGAAGGTGAATGAGCGAACTCAGATGATGAAACTCGAACTGGAAAGGAAGTTACAAGAATGCCAGAAGGCAGCTGAGAAGTGGTTTGAGATAGAGAAGAAAAGGATGGAAGAGAAGATATTGCAGCAGCAACAAGAAGTAGAAATGCTGAGGAGACGATTGGAAGAGATTGAGCTGGAGGCAAGTCGTCCCAAGGTTAGTGGGTTGGAGCAAAGTGTTGCCGCAACTGAAGTGGATGGTTGCAGAAGCAGCTTTGCTAGCAGGCTGTTGGGAGCTTGTGGTGGGGACGACGAGGCAGGGATGGTGAAATCAATGGATCTGGACATGGGTGATCAAGAAGTGTTTGTGCGCGAGGTTAAGTTTGTAAACTCGGCTTCTAATCAGCCAAGCAGCAACATTGGCAGTCCTTATTTCCTCCCTCCACAGAGTGATGCATATGGAACCAACTATGGCGATAAGTTTAGTCTCACCACGGTTTTTGAGGAGGAAGAAGTGGACGAAGGAGATGAACTACAACAAGCTGAGGAACAACAGGAGATGGAAGAGGAAGAAGAAGTTGAGAAGAAGGTTATAGAGGTGGAGTGGAGGAAGCCATCAAGTGAGGGAGAGGACAACAGCCAACTGAAGGAGGACATGTCCGAGGCGAGCAGGATATTAAGAATCCAAAACATATTTACTCTGTGTGGAAACCACAGGGAGCTGTCCCAGACGCAGACCATCAACACACCAGTTGCTGCTGCTAAAGGGTTTCAGGAGGTTTATCCTGAGAAGGAGAACAACAACCCTCAACTCCCACTCACTCCACTTCTAGATAACAACAAACTCGCACCAAGTTCATGCTTGTCTTCTAAACAGATGACAGTGCAAGAAGACGATGGCTTCTCAGCTGAAATTGGGCACCTAACAACCACTCCTTTTATTACCAAGAGAAACGCTCTACACTGATGGTCTTCTTTCTTATCCGGTAATCCTTTTGTATCTTGGGGCAAAATATCTCTGAGTATATGTGCCCATGTACTCCTGTATGCAAGCCTTATTGTTGTAGTTTGGAAATGCTTGTATGGCCTATCGTTCAGCATCTCTTGCTATCTAAAACTGATCCACACAAGATATTCAGGGCATTTCCACCATTTGAGTCTCTACTTCCTTTATTTGCACCAAACCCTCAAAGGGTTCAGTGTATGTCATTGTGTTTTGCTTCACAGTTTTAGCCAATTGGCAACAGACGAACAGAAAGATTCTAAGAAAGATTCTAACTTTGTGCAGAAGTACAAAATGAATGATTTCATTTATTATCAACTCTCAAAAGAAGTTTACAAGGAAACAGTAAACAACTCCTTTCCTCTCTGCCTTCTCCAACTCCTTTTAAACACTTAATACAATGTTACATATATACCTTTCTCCAAATTGATACAAAGCTCTAGCTATGGCGATGTTTAGAAAAACAAGAAAATTAAGGAAGAAACTTTTGAACAGCAACAAAAAAGAACACAATTGTCAAAAACAGGAACAACAACAAGAAATTTTCTTGGAGGGGAAAAACACTTCGATTGGGCAGGGTTACTCAAGCTTTCTAAAACCCACAAACAAATCAAACCACCGAGGTTTGTTTTCTTTCAATTTTTGTTTTGATTAATCAATTCGTCACCTTTCATCTTGGTAAGCGTCCAAAACCGAGGTTAGATGGCCGGCGGTGTTGCTCTTGGTAGAGCCGCCGTCCGCCGTCGGAGGAAGACCGTCGGCGGCAGAGGAATTCTCGCCGGGCTGGTCCTTCGATCTGGCCCTCGACTTCCTGGTGCGAGAATGCTTTGGGATGGACGGCTGGTCGGCGGCGCCGGTGGGGGACACGTCGCCCTGGTTGGAGGACGATTTCTTGCTCTTCCTCGATTTGACGCTGCCGCCGCCGGACGACTCTCGGGCAGGGGATCCCATGGTGTTGGAAGAGCGGTGGCGCCTCGACTTCCTCTCGACGTCGCCGGCCTTGGGCGAGCTCGCCGGAGAGCTGGCCGCGCTGCTGGCGTTCGACGGCCGCCTCGAGTGCTTCGGCGCGTCGCTGGATGAGCGCCTTGACTTGTGCTTGGACTTATTGGTTGACCCGCCGGCTGCGGCGCGGGAAAAAAAAAAGAGACAGAAATGCCGTTAGCCGTTATCAGGTAGTAAAAAGTAATTTTGTCGCTATTATATACGGTAATTGACCAAAATGGTTTATAGGTTTGGGTTAGTAACAAAATGGTCACAAATGTTTGAAACGTAACAAAAAGGTCACATAAGTATCACGATATAACAAAACAACAATTTCAAGTTAGTTGCTCTCGAAAAGACGTAGTATTATGGGTTGATTAGCCGTCTTATATTTTTTTAGCACTGTGTCAACAAGCTAATTGATAATTTTGGATGTAAATATGGCTAAAACAAGACAAAATGACTGTATTGTTATATTGTGATACTTGTGTGGCCGTTTCAAACGTTTGTTACCATTTTGTTAAATGTCCAAATCTAAGTGACTATTTTGATCAATTACTCCTCTTATGCGGCTTTATTTTAGGGATGGCAACGGGTCGGGGACGGATAGTGCATATCCGTTACCCTACCCAAAGTAGTTCGAGTTTTACCCATACCCATACCCACATGAGAAACGGGTAGAAAATCCAAACCCTGCCCATACCCGTTCGGGTTTCGGGTATCCACGGTTATCCATGGGTAATAGTTTCTCTTTATAACTCCAACCAATATGTTAATTTTTACACGTATTCTCACGTTAAGTAAGCCGAAAAGTACGACAATAATTCACTAGAATGAAGAAAATTAATTAAAACAACACAATTTCATGGAAATATTATATTATATGCTAAATATAAAATATGTTAGAGAAAAATATTGATTATTTGTAGACAAAATACATATGCATGTGTATAATCGGGCGTGTTCGGGTTGGATAGTGAGAAAACCATCCCCACCCAATACCCGCAATATTCGGGTTCGAGTTTTACCCGTATCCACTAAAAATCTTTCGGGTTCGAATTTTACCCTACCCGATTAGGTCGGATTCGGGCGGATATCCACGGTTACAGATATTTTTGCCATCCCTACTTTATTTTTTGGTTTCTGGGTTTCCTTCTTTTGATCCTAATATATTTTTCTTTAGTTGTTGGCCTCAAGGTCTAAGCCCAAAATGTAGTGGATATTCTCATCCTCACATCATCGCTCATAAAATTAATTATTTGTTTTGTAAAAAATAAAATTAATAATTTTATGTATTCATGTTCTTTTCATAATTGACTATCTAAGAAAAATTAAACCAATGCAATTCCTTCAAATAAGAAGTCAGGCAATGCATAAAGTGGGGAAAGGCAGGAGAGAACCTTCAGACTGTGCTTTTGGTGAAGGAAGGCTCTTGAGGTCATCTGTAGAATTCAAAGGGCCGCTCATGGATTCTGGGCTTGATTTGAACTCATTCATCTACATATATACAAATATAATACAAAACTCTTATTCAAATCGCAACAATGCTTTTCTTTAATGTCAGGTATGTAACATATAACGTTATGTGACATACCCAACTTGGAGTGGTGGAAGAAGGGCCATCAGCTCCAATATGTGCAACGTGTTTTACATCTGTGGGAAGGCCGATCTCGAACTCTGGCTCTTTCTCATCTACCAAAGAGAGAAACATGTTGGTTTGGGATGTAAATATGTTGGAAAATAATCATTAAAATGCTCTACAAGAAAGGAAAAGGAGACTCACCAAAGATGTTGTGAGAGATGGTATACCTAAGTCCTTTAAAAAGACCTTTCACTTTTGTCGTCATCTTTAATTATGCAAGGAAAATCCTGATAGAGAGCAACCGTAGTTATAAATTTTTTATCACAATACCCAATCTAGAAGACGTTGAGAAACCGAGTTAGAAGGAGAGAGCCATAGAAAAAGCAACATTCTCGAGAGACCATTTCCAAAGAGGATTTTTGTTGCTTAGTAATGTTAACATTTCCTCTCTGAAAGACAAAATCGAGGCGATTGAGATTTACTTTTCTCTTTCTCTTCTTTTTTCTCCCTTTATTTGTAGGTTTAGGTAATGAACTCAGACAATTCTTGATTGTTGAATACCATCAACAACAATCAAGAAGAGAAAGAGGGAGATTGCTTTGGATTGCAAAGGAACTAAAATCTCGAAATGTCGTGAAAGGCTAACACATGATTTTTGTTGGTGGTGATGGTTCCAATGAGAAACACCAATGCCCTTTTCCATTCTAAGCTCCTCTCCATCCCCTCCAACAGATATGCTATTTTTCAGCCCCAATTGACTAATAAAAGTCAGAATTTTGTTCTTTTATCTTGTCCCTTATTTTTCCTTTTTGTCTTTTGTTTCCTTTTCTTAATATATAAACATTAAAATTTTCATGAAACACAGAAAAAATCGACTTCCAACTTAAAAATATCTGTGTAACAATTACTTACGCGGTTGAATAGACTCGAACATTGAACATATAATTGAACTATTATTGTCGCTTTCAAATTTTGAGGAGGCACAATGCAAACTAGCTTAGTTTTACTTCCTAGATACCATTAGCTACTAGATTTGGATACACATTCCACTACACTAAAATGCATGTTAAATTTAAGAGTTGCAAATAATAACAATATGAGTTTCTAGTTAATAGTTCAACATTTACTATGGCTCTCTTCTCCTCACCTCCAGAGTGGGGTTACTCTCTACTCAAATGGCTCATTCCACCCTACTTCAAGCCAAGAAGCAGGTGGAGGTATGGTTCGAGATTATACATGATGTTGCCATGCAACATTCATTTTGAACCTTAGTAAAAGCTCCATTACTCGGGCATAGAGAGGTGTTGTAGAAGGGCTTAAGTTAGCTTGAGATTTTGGATTCTGACATCTAAGAGTGGAGTTGGAATTCCTCTGTGCGGTTCAAATCTTACAGGGCGATAGTGGGAAACACCACCAACGTAGATCTAGCAATCATTGATTGATTTAACCATCTGCTACAACAGGACTGAGAAGTGACTATGTCCCCTATCTATTGAGAGGATAATAAGTGTGTTGTCTATTTATTGGTCTTTATTTGTCTTTAGGTTTACATGGTATTTTGAGAATTGACCCTCAACTGTACCAGTTGCTTATGTACGATATTTAAGGGCTCTCCTAACCCCGATTGATTTCGGGATTTCATGCATCATTTCAAACCATAATTTGTAAACATGTCAGACCATCTTTAGTGATTAGATTCAAATGTCCAAAATTTAAAGCTATAATTCAAATTCTACCCCCTCAAAAAGTGTTTTGGCATTAGTAGTGTGTTCCAAAAGTCCAAATTTCCATATTTGCGCTTTAACTCATAATCCAGTTTTGTATATATTTCATCATTCTAATTACGAAATTTTTCATTAACTTTATATAGGTACTATTAATTAATTAAGACGAGCATCTCGCCAATTTTTTTTTTTTTTTTGAATTCTGACAAAAAATATTATTTGTAAATATGACTTAATTAATGACGATCTCTTGTTTGGACCGAAAGAGCCGTTGGAGGAGATTGTGGGTGCTAAAAGATAAAGTAGTTTCTATTATGTAAATATTGATATATGGATGACCAATGACCTACCACATTAGATGCTCACTTGGGAGTTACATGTAACCCCTATTTCTACATTATTATCTCTCATTCATATGCATTGATATAAGGATGTAGTGGTTACCAAAGTGTGCCTCTAAATATAGCACACTATTGTATCAAAAGTGAAGAATGAATAAGAAGAACTCTTCCACTATCTTCTCTTGTGTCTTTCCCTCTCTAATCTTCTCTTGTATTTGTTTATATTTTCAGTAGTTTCATAACACGTTATCAGCACGAAGCTCTGCCAAAATTATCATTGCTCAAGCCTCAAAGACTCTCGACATAATCTAAGATATTGGAGTAAGATCACAATATGATCAAGGTATGTAAATCGTAGATCCTTTCTTATCGTATTGTCTTATTTGTGTTGAGATTATCTCATTCTAATATATCAAGATGGGTGTTACTTCTCATATCCATTGATATTTTATCACGTCGATCTATTTGGATTAACAAGAAAAGTAATATAAGTGATGAGTTAATTTCTCAGTTCTCTGTGTTATCCTATTCTTATCAATCATACATTGATATGTAGAAAATGCAAGTTCCAAGAGCCCATATATTCCCCAGAAGTGGAAATTGAAGAATTCAAGGGCATAGAAAGAAGTGGACATGGTAACAAGAAGATTGGTTTTGTATGTTACCAATGTAATGGAAAATTGCATTTGTCCCGTACCCGTTGTACGCAAAAGACCTTATTCTACCAAAAATCAAAGGGAAAAGCTAATTCATATACGCTCATGCAATATCAATATTATGGAACATATTTTTTGTATTATAAGTTGGTATATTTTCCTTTAAAGATGAAAATGATATTGCACTTGAGACATTTTCATTCCCAGAAGTGAATGAAACAATCTATTCCCCGAAGTGAATGGAGCTATAAACATGATTATATGTGCTAAATGTATTGTTTGGATCTTTTCACCAGAAGTGAGAAAAGAGAAGAATTATAAGTAAGGATGAAATAACAATTGCATTATCAAAGTCATGATAATGTAATGTACCTATTGTACATTGAAATGCATAATGGAACGCATATATAAATTTAAAATCACCTAGTTAGTGATGATATTGTTCCAAATAAAGCTTATTTAAATTTTCACAATTGTAGTATTATGATTCTTGTTTTCTATTATGTTTCATTGTGCCATTATTTTCATGCATAATTTAACTTGATAACTTTTATCTAGAACGATTAACTTGATAAGTTCGTCATTTTTGTCTTAAGTTTGAATATTCTCATTTATTATTTTAGTGTGTTTTTGTAAAGTATGATTGTTAGAAAAAATCCAGATAAACTATATGGTAGAGTACATAAATGAGAAAAAGCTTCCGAAGAGCTTATGTTTGGTTACTTGAAGTAACTAAATTATGTACTCGTGATACTAATTTGTGATGATATTCACTATGAATATGTGTTTACTAAGAATGCATCAAATCATAAGTCTCCGGAAGGGCGAAATATGGTACAAAATATGGTAAAGCTCTAAAAGAGCTAATGTTTTGTGGCCTGAAGGACCCAAACTACCTAGTGATGATGCATTGCCCAATTAAAAGGATGTTCGTAAAATGAGTATCTTATCAAGAAAATAGTAAAACTAAAATTTGCATCACAAATATGTACTACATGTATATTAGTACTATCAGTACACATAAAAGTGTAAACCAGAAGTTTACAAGATTTGATAACTTGATAATTGATTGGTCCGGTTAGACCATCCCGGATCTTGATGTGAAAAGAGAATTCATGAGAACATTATATGAGAAGTCAAAGAACTCTTCAACTAAAAGAGTTATTATGTCATGTTTGTTCTCAAGGAGAATAGAACAATTGATCAGAGCTTGTATAAGAGTTGGCAAATCTCTTGAGATTTTATATGATCACTTTTATTTTATCTAATCGCAACCCGATGTTTGCGAGATTGATTGCCTCACTATGGATACATTTTTATGATGATCCAATCAAACATCACTTTGATTAAGAGAACAAACTAAGCCTTTTGATCTCTTGTCGAGGACATGCTAGCTGGCAAGTGATAGTATTGATTCACATCTAACCAACAAGTTATCATAAGTTCCCCCCTTTTACAAATGATTTTGGTCAAAAATCTAACATTTCTCATATGAGAATATCAGGGTGTGCCGCATACATCCCAATTGCTCCACCATAGTATCTTAAGTTGATTCTCGTTGGAAATTGAGAATTTGTGTTGGGTATGAATCCCAAATGGAAAATTTGTTTGCGAAATTATTATTTTGATGAATCACTTTTCCAACATTAAGGGGGAGAGGAAAAAAAACAGCTGGACAAAGAGATGAGTTGGAATGAGTTATCATTATCTAGTTTTGATCCTCAAAGTAAGAAACATGAACCTGAAGTTCATAAGATGAATTATCGTTACCAACTATCAAATGCCTTTACTGGCCATACGAAGTGACCAAGTCACATATACTAGTTGTGAATGCTCCAACTAAATTTGACATCCTTGTTGGATACTCTAATATAAAAAAAATGTGTATGAAAGAGCGCATGAAGCGTGATAGACCAATCGGTTCCAATGATAAACATCCTCGAGAAAGAAAAGGAGCTGTGATTAGAATGGTCAACTCGAGGACATGAAAACTCAAGAAGAGTAACCAAGAATTAAGTATAATTTTAGTTCCAGAAGAACACATGTCTCTGAAAGTTGTGAAAGGGAAGAGATCTCAAAAATATATTAGACTACAATACTGGAACCGAAATGAAGTCATTGTCGACGAAATTTATTTGTTGTACTTCAGTACTGAATATGATATATATAAGTGAGGATCAAGAGTAAAACTCTATTGATGCATGCAAATGATGATGTTATTGGCCAATATAGAAAGAAATCATGAAACTTGCTCAAGAAGCATAAAGTTTAAGGACCAGAAGTCCTTGCACCTAAAAAAGGGCAAAACTAGCGGGATACAAACAAATTTTTGTGCTACTGGAAAGTATGAAATTGTGCGAGATATCGCACAATGTTTTGCAATGGGGTTCTCGAAAAGACCTGTCATTGTTTAAGAGGAGTTATACTCCCCTGTGGTGGTGGGTGCAACTACTTTTTCAAATCAATGTTTGAAAATTGTTGTGATAGCCTATTTGTTTGAATTCCCCGAAGATGTTAAATATATTTGAAACTCCCAGAAGGATTAATTACTCCTAGAAGGATTAATTTACCTGAAGTAAATAAGTAAAGTTCTCGAGAACATATAATGATAGACTAAGAATATCCCCTGCATGGGTTGAGAAAATATAGACGAATGTGAAATACTCGTCTAAGTGAACACCTACAACAGTGGGGTGAATGGACCTTAAAAGGTTAAATCCGGATAGAGTACATTAGAGCATTTGCATTGTGCATATATAGTTGTATTGTTTGTATGTGCTTCAAGGATTTTGAAATCTTGGTTTATGAGTTGTGTTTTACTTTAAAGTATGAGTTGTGTTTTATAACTGTGCTTTGTCTAGTTCATATGTTTCTATGATGTGAGTTTTGTTATTATCTTTAGTTATATGAAAGAATTGCTTGCATCAATTTGTGTTAGTTAAGTTTTTTTTTTTACAATCTCATATTATGTTAATGATATGACTATTATTGGATCTCCTGAAGAGCTTTCTAAAGCAGTTGATTGCTTCGAGACATAAGTTAAATTGAAGGATTTAAGATCCTTTTTATGGGCAAGGAAGGTAATGTTGAAAAAGTGGGAAAGTAATTTTGCATGAACGAATTGTGTTCATCAAATAACATTAGGATCCTAATATCACTAGAAGTGACCAAAGATCCATTTAGAAATCAAGAAAGAAGTGAAACATTAGGTCCTGAAGTACCATATGTTGATGCATTAGAGCACCAATGCACCTTGCTAGCCAAGCACCATATAAACTATCATTTTGGTGTTGATAATATTGGCAAGATACAATGTTTTCCTCATTAGAACGTTGGAAAATACTTTGTTACCTCCAGGAACAATATATGCGATTGTTCTATTATGGTATTATCAAAGAGAGATTTGGTAAACTATATGTCCAAATCCTATATATCATTTGATCCTTATATTGGTTGATCGGAGACGAGCTATCTCTTACATATGGTGATATAAATGTTTCATAAAGAAACAAAACAAACTATAATGGGCAAGTCCCGAATGTCTTTCGTTACACTTTGTGATCCACCATATCTCAAGTACTTGTGGTTGTGAACTATTTTCAAATGAAATGATCCCGACGATCATGTATGAAGAAAATCTAAAGATCATGCATCAAATTGACAATCTAGAAGATTGTTCACTAACTCACTCCCGACAACAATCTTTCTAAAAGTTGTTCATGAAATTTGAGTTCAACGACTCAATAATATAAAGTGATGTGGTCATGAGAGGGAGCATATACGCACTGCACTCTTTTTCCCTTAACCATGGTTTTTTTCCCAATGGGTTTTCCTGGTAAGGTTTTTAATGAGGCAGTATGATATAGCGTAATGCAATCTAGTGGTCATCCAAGGGGGAGTATTATGTAAATATTGATATATGGATGACCAATGACCTACCACATTAGATGCTCACTTGGGAGTTACATGTAACCCCTATTTCTACATTATTATCTCTCATTCATATGCATTGATATAAGGATGTAGTGGTTACCAAAGTGTGCCTATAAATATAGCACACTATTGTATCAAAAGTGAATAATGAATAAGAAGAACTATTCCCCTATCTTCTCTTGTGTCTTTCCCTCTCTAATCTTCTCTTGTAGTTGTTTATATTTTCAGTAGTTTCATAACAGTTTCTTTTTTTATTATTATTAAAGCTCTTTTTGGCAGGTGGACCCGTCTGCTTTTTCCACATGTGGTCACACTCTCTTTTGGAACTTTTGTCCTTTTCTGAGCCAAATTTGGACCCAATTTTTGGATCAACTTTTAGCTTTTTTGAACCTTACTAAAGTGGATCTGATCCAATTTTTTGGAATTCTAGACCACCACTAAAGTTGGTCTCATCGAGCCAATTCCCGAACTCCCCAATTCAATAGGATTTTACTATTTGAGTTTCTGATTGGGGGGTTTTGGAAGTCTTTCATCCGAGTCGTGGTACGAGTTTAGAGTTTTAATGATCTTCATTCCCTAATTTCCTTTCCACCCATTACATAGTTGGATTAGTTTCATGAACGTGGTTAAGAAATATAAATAGCTCGAAAATATTTACAAATATTTAAAATGGACTATGGGACGGAAGAATTTTCAAAGATAGATATCTGATAATAATCAACTGAAGCCAACAGTACTCAGTTATCAGTGACCCTCATCATATACCAGCAAGGATGAAGCTAAGTTAGGGAAACGCTGTGTTGTGGTGTAACATGTGATCCAAAGCATCTAACTTGAACACTCTCCACGATAAAAGGGGGAAAAATAGAGAAATGGTGCAAGTAAATCAAGTCACTCATGCTTCAACCATATCGTTTTCTTGCTTTGCCAGCAAATCTAGGAAGCCTTGAGGTCATCCATACCAACACTAGCCTGCACCAACAAATTGTTCAGTGAGCCGGATTACAAGGAGTTCGGAATATACTTGGTAAGTAAGTAACAAAGTAGAAGACATTAATCCATCTCTGATACAAGAAGTTCCTTGCATGCTTAAACTTTCGGGTTTCTTGATTCCTCTGGATGGGGTACCTTCATTTTTCTCAAGTTGGGGGACACATAATTGACAGTTCGCTCACTTAGCTTGCTCTAAAAAGCTACCATATTCCGGTAAATCAGTGCATTGGTTATTACAAATTACTATGACAGAAGGAACAAACAGTCACTAGGTTCTCCATTTATCATATATTCATATTCTATCATTTACCTTTCCTGTTTGCAATAGTGAAACATGAAGTTCTAAATGGTTTCATAAAGTTCCAGGATTAAGGTATATGGAAAACAAGACACAGGCTGAGAAAAAAAAAACCATACCAGGAACTTGTGATTCTCTGCAAGGAATGGGGAAAAGGTTGAACAGAAGCTATCTATGTCAGCATTGATGTCACCCTTTCCAGATATCACATCCATGAACTTCTTCCTATCAGGAGCAAGCTTCATTGCAACCTGCAATAAATATTCAACATCAACTCCTTGTCGAAGCCAAATTAGAACTATAGAAAGCTACATGCTCTATAGGTATATAAAAATATGAAGATGTAACGATGCAAAAGGATGGATGGAATCTTAATCATTCATTCTCTGCTTGAGCAACTAAAAGGAAAGTAAGCCTAATTTAAACTCTTCCATCGACCAATCAAACCGTTCCGCAGGGGATATAGCATAAATGCACCTACAATAGCATTTTTTTAAAGAGCATATGATTCGAAATATAGCTCAAGAGGGGTAAGAACATTACGGAGAAACTCGAACTAGCAAGCCAGCCATGGAACTTTTTCAGAGTCTTGCTGTATGAATCTGTACAGGCTTGGCTCATTGTCCAATCTTGATGTGTAAGCAAATTGCGGAACAATTCCACCAGGAAATCCATAGCTCTGGTGGAGATCATAAAAGACAGCGAACCCTATGAACTTGGTGTCAATGTGAAAAATAGGCAAGTAGCAGTAGATTCCCCAACTTGAATCATATCAACAAATCTTTGGAAACTTGAATCAAGATGGCTCAAAGACCAAGTATTCAGGTGAGGCGAGGATCCTCTGTTCACTAACAACAAATCTGAAAAGAAAAGAATGGGATCCCATACCTGGTTAACCAAAGTAGACCATTAGTACAACTAGATGATCCTTTGGCTGTTTTGGCTTGAACCTCCTCTTGAACCATACTGTATAAGAGCTTGTATTTAGTTGGATCAGATGAATACTTGGTTTCCAACCTCTACAATGAATAAACACACAACCATTCTGTTTCAGAACTCAGACTTCAAGATACAATCCAAAAAGCTTGTGACTGGCAGCATACTAATAAGACATAACACGTAAATCAGAGTGAACATTACTCGAAAAGATCTCAGCTTTTCCCAAATTTCAAGAGAATATATAACAATAACAAACATTACTAACTAGTACAGAGATCTTACAGTGATATTGCCGCCAATATCAGATTTCACAATGGCCAAAGCAGCTCCAAACTTATCTGTCAAAATCATAACCACAAACATGAGCATCTATTCTAACAAGGCTATCCATCAACTACCGAACCCACGAAACCTTGGAATCTTCACCAATCCTATTTCATTGAGGAACTAACCGATCACGGGGAGGATCAATTTGCAGACATCCAAAAAAGGCTTGGTGAGCATTTCCCCTTGCTCCGACTTGACATGCTTCATCCCTTCCAGTGACGGAGCGAACACCGATCCTTCTCCGGCCATCTCACTATCTCTGCATTACCAATCAAAAGAAAAACCCACACAATCAGTCCAATTGTCGTCCGATCAGCGAGAGACATAGATAGAGAGAAGGATCTGTACAGGAATTGGTATCAGGAGGCAATGAAGTTGCAGAAGAGATGGAATTTGGCAGCCGCGATTGACGGGGGAGGAGCAGATTGATTCGATTCGGTCGAGAGAGAATGGAGTGATTGAGAAGTTGAGTTAAACGAAGGAGGAGAATCAGATTCGATTCGGTGGGCGGACGGCGCCGTTTCTCTATTTATGTTTCTTTTCTACACCGTCTGTCGGTTACTCGGGTAGCTGAACTGGAGGGAGAAGACGGACTGGCGGAGTTACGGTAGCGTGTAACGGCGGGGTGGGCTAGAAAGTACGGTCCAACTAAAGAGCCCAATTCGCAAAATTCCTACATAGGGCCTAAACATAAAAGGCCAAAACTCCGAGCCCAGATGTACGGCACTCGCCAGCATCTCCCAACCTAGGAGTCTAGGACCCTGTTGTTATAAGAACTCTCCCAATCCTGTAAAACCCTAATCTTCAACCTCTGCTCTTCTGCTCTTCTGCTCTTTGACTGACGGCCGTCGTCTCTGTTTCTTCACAGTCACACCCCTCACCAGACCGCACAGATGGTACGCTTCTCTCCGGATTTGTTCATCTATTACTCTATACTCATTTCCGACTCTACTTAATGGGGATTTCTGCTGCAGGGATTCAAACGATATGTTGAGATCGGGCGGGTGGCTCTGATCAACTACGGTAAGGAATATGGAAAGCTCGTCGTCATCGTCGATGTCGTCGATCAGAACCGGGTGAGTTACCATTTTTAGTCTCCTAGCTTCTTCTGTAGATCAGTTTTTTTAGGTGCATAGTAGAAAATTGATTCTCCCCAGTACGCAATTATTGTGGATGGTTAGTTTGATATATCGGCTTATAGATATTAGGGTACGGGTAGTAGTCGGTTTAGGCGAACTACTTGTTTCTGCACCCAGTGGCTGATCTTTTTTGGCTTGGTGTCTGTTCTGTTTTCAAGACCTAATCTTTACTTTCGGAATCCTCGGAAATTCGGATTTCAAGGTTTAGCGCTCCTTCCCATTGCTTCGTTTGTCATTTGATTGGCCTGGAACTGGGTTTCGTAGCGGTAGAGTCAATGCATTAGGCTCTGAGTTCTCTGATATGTTTTTCACTACAGGCACTAGTTGATTCCCCAGATATGGTTAGGAGCCAAATTAACTTCAAGAGGCTTACACTCACCGATATCAAGATTGAGATTAACAGAGTTCCCAAGAAGAAGACGCTTATTGAAGCCATGGAGAAGGCTGGTAGGTTATCTTTTCTCTCTTAAAACAGAAAGTTTGGAAGTGCTCTCATGTATTATGCTTGACTCCTGCTGACTGTAAATCTTTGGCGTGGTAGATGTTAAGGGCAAGTGGGAGAACAGCTCATGGGGTCGCAAATTGATCGTTAAGGAGAGAAGGGCTGCCCTTACCGACTTTGATAGGTTCAAATTGATGTTGGCCAAGATCAAGGTTTGTGTTACAAAAACTCCTTCCCTGGATCGATTAATTTGATTCTGTTTGATCCGAATGGAAGAATGTTTGCTTATCGGAATCTTCTACCATTGGTAATGTGCAGAGAGGAGGATTGGTCAGGCAAGAGCTCGCCAAGCTGAAGAAGGAGACCGCCGCTTAGGAACTCCCACAGTATTATTTTCCCTATTATTGTTGGTAGTCTGCAAGGGTTGTGCCTCTGGGATGTTGTTTGGTTTTCTGTTTCAGATATACATTGATCAGCTGAAGGAATTTTCTTTTTGTGATATGAAACGAGAGACCCATTTTGTAGAAGCTAAGAGTGCAATGTTTTTGCCGTGTTTATTGCTATTCATATCTCCTTGCTGTTTCTCATATTCATAAGTAGAGCTGAAGTTTTCAATTTTGCCGGTGCAAAGTTTTGTTCCCTTAAGCCTGTTTAGTTCATTTCTATTTTCTGTTTTCGAGAAAACATATGTTTTCTAACAGGTGAAAATAACATTTTGTCGTTCTTGAAAACAGCGTGAAGCTGTCATTTTTTGTTTGCGGAGTTGGAAATGAATAGAAAACAGAATGAAAAGTAAAAAGCTTTTCTAGAAGGGACTGGGTCAGAGTTTAATGAAGGTGTCAACTATTGTTTTAGCCCAACCAACTCTATCTCTGCAGGTGGAAAGAATGGAATAAATAGAAAAAAGAAACAACACAAGAACAAGGCCCAAACTAGCAATGATGGCAAAGAGGATGGAGAAGAAAGAGGAACAACGGCAGCGGTGGTTCGCCATAAGCCACCTCATCTCCCATGAGTATCGTAAGTTGGAACGTAAGGGGGTTTGGCCAACACCTTACGAGAAGTTATGCTAAGCGTCTTATTCGGCGTCATGGCCCTTCTATCGTTTTTTATGGAAACGTGCAACAATGAAGCTTTCATGGAAGAACATAGAAGAAAATTCAAAAATTTCCCCAATAGAGAGTATGTCGAGCCTGTCAACTCATCTAGGGGTTTCACTTTATGGTGGAAGGCGGGTATTAGTATTACGGTACTAAGTAGTGATAAGTATTACATGGATGTTAGCATTGACATGGGGAAGAAATTTTCTATACTTTTGTCCATGCCTCGACAACATTTGTTAGTAGAAGGGAGTTTTGGGAGCACTTGAGCTCCCTTCGGAGTAGTAGAGAAGACGAGTGGGTTGTAGTAGGTGATTTTAATGCTGCGATTTATGATTATGAAAAGAGGGAAGATGCCCTCTTAGGTACGAGAATGTAGAACCTTTCAAAAGGTTCATCTTTGATAATGCTCTCATCGACCTGGGCTTTAAAGGAAATCATTTCACCTGGTCCAATAAACGTACTGGACAAAACTTGGTCAGGGTGAGACTGGATAGGGTTTTGTGCTCGACGTCCTGGAGGGCACAGTTTGGAGAAGCAGTGGTGTTCCATGAAAGATGGAGAACCCCGTTCAGGGTGGATGAGAGATGGTTGGAGAAAGAGGAATGCAAGGAGATTGTCTGCAGAGAATGGGACCCAGGAGGCCCATCTAGCAACCAGCTGGCGAAATGTGTGAGAGAGCTGAAAACATGGTCAAAAGACTTCCATTAGAATAGTATTCTTAGGCAGAATGAGATCATGACCAGGTTGGAGATTCTCCATCAACCTCCTCGAATACAGGAGAATGTGGAAGAAGAGAAGAACCTCACAGCTGAATTAACAAAAATTTGGCATGATGAAGAAGCCTTTTGGAATCAATGCTCCAGAGTTAATTGGTTGCAAAAAGGAGACAAAAACACATCCTTTTTTCTATGCTAGCACTATTCAAAGAAAGCAATAAAACAGAATCCTCCGCTTAAAAGATGAGGTGGGAAATTGGATTGAAGATGAAGCAAGGCTGAAAGGTATGGTAGTGGATTTCTATAAAGATCTTTTCAAGGCAAGGTCTCCTACTACCTTTACCCATCTTCTTCAAGGATTCCCAACGATGGTTACAAGAGAGATGAATGAGGATCTGTGTGGGTCGGTCACTAATGAGGAGATCAGAAAAGCAGTTTTCTCTCTTGGGGCCAGAAAAGCCCCCGGGCCAGATGGTTTCTCCGGAAAATTTTTCAGGAGATACTGGGAGATGTTTGGTGAATCCCTCTGCAGAGAAGTAAAGGACTTTCTTTGAAAATGATTCTCTCCCTGATGGATGGAATGACACTCATATTGTTATGGTGCCCAAAGTTGACCATCCAAAAACCAATGGTCAATTTCGTCCTATCAGCTGCTGCAACTTCAGGTACAAGATCATCACAAAAATCATGGCTACACGTATGAAGAAATGGACCCCCCTCATCCAGGATAATATTATTGTTGTCCATGAAACTCTTCATCATTTCAAAAACCAAAAACAGAGGAACATAAGAGATATGATGCTGAAACTGGATATGAAGAAGGTTTACGATATGGTTGATTGGGAATGTCTGGAAACTCTGCTTAGGAGGTATGGTTTTGATGAAAAGTGGTGCAGATGGGTTAGCACTTGTATTCAAACAGTTAGGTTCTCAGTGTTGTTTAATGGTGAAGCTACAGAGACTTTTTGATCTTCTAGAGGCATTAGACAAGGAGATCCTCTATCCCCTTTTCTCTTCATCCTAATGTCTAATGCTCTCACTTTCCTAGTGGAGAAAGCAGTGATGGATAACCAAATTAGGGGTATAAAGCTTAACGCTAGATGCCCCACCCTCACACATTGCCTTTTCGCGGATGACACAATCATTTTTGGGAAAGCCAGTATTCAAGAAGCTGGAAGGACTTTGGACCTCATCAATGATTATGGATCGATCAACGGGCAAGAGATCAACACCAACAAATCATTTATTTTCTTCAGTGCCAACGTCCCCATTGAGGATAAGAATGACATTATCTCACACATTGGTTTTGCTTCCTCTAACTGCCACTCTAAGTACCTTGGAGTCCCGACCGAGTGGGGAAACTCCAAGAAAGAGACATTCCAATTCCTTATCCAGAGGATGGAAAAGATGGGGGAATCTTGGAAAGGCCTTCTTCTTTCTCATGGAGGGAAGGAAATTCTTCTCAAGTCTGTTATTCAAGCTATCACATCTTGCATCATGTGCCTGTTCCTTCTACCAGTGTCCCTTACCAAGAAAATGGATTCACTTCTCATCAACTTTTTCTGGTCAGGCTCAATGCAGAAGAGCAATCTTCACTGGTGTAGACAAGAGATTATGTGTACACCAAGTCAGAAGGAGGTCTGGGGTTCCGCAGTTTTAGAGATTTCAATCTGGCACTCCTGGCCAAACAAGCCTGGAGGCTTCTCACTTCTCCTGATTCCCCATGGAGTCGCCTCCTCAAAGGACTCTACTTTCCTAGAGGTAATTTCATGTCGGCTAGAAGGAAGTAAACCTTCTTGGATCTGGGCTAGCATCTGGGAATCCAAAAAAGTTGTTGATCTGGGTGCTGTTAGAGTGATTGGATCGAGTAAGGCTACCTGGATTGATCAAGACCCTTGGGTCCCTTCTCTCCCTAAGGCATGCATTCAGAGTGGCCCACAAAACCACATGAGAGTCAATTCTTGAATTGATCTGTAGGAGAGGAAGTGGAATAAAGAGCATATTGAGGGACATGTCTCAAATTCTGAAATGGAAGTTATCCTAAGGATCCCGATTGGGGAAGAAGACTCTGATGACTTCTGGGCATGGAGACTGAATGAAAAGGGTAATTTCACTGTTAAGTCGGCTTATCATGCAGTTCACTTGTCTTCGACGGAACCACAAACGATGGACAATGTAGCAAAATGGAAATGGATGTGGAATTTAGATATCCCCCCTAAGCTCAAGTTTTTCATCTGGAGGTGTCCCAAGAATGGACTTGCAACAAAAGAGAGACTTTTCCACAGAAAATGCTCCCCCAACTCAACGTGCCAAGTGTGCCAGTGCCCCATCGAGTCACTCTTCCACGGCCTCTTCTCTTGTAACCATGCTAAGGAAGCGCGGAACACCATTGTTTCTAACATTCCACTTCCGGCTCAAGCTACAGCTTTCCTTGACTGGCTCTACTACCTCAAGGACGCTATCCACCTAGGAGCCCTGGCCCATATTATCTTCTTATGCTGGAATTTTTGGAAGGCGAGGAACGAATGTGTCTTCAAGAATCAGATCCTTTGGCATCTGAACGTTATTGTGAAAACGTATAAGGATTTCATGGAATGGACGATGCGTCCGAGGAATCCCCCCTTAGTCTCTCCTTCTCCTCAGCTCAGGGGATCCCACTCACCCTCTTCTCCACCGCCAAGCAATCACCATTTGGTGATTCACTGTGATGGGTCGTTCATAAGCGACTCCCAGCCGGCGGCATATGGTGTCGTGGTCCTTAACCACCATGGACAAATGTGTGATGGGCGAGCTGATACCCTCCTTTGTTCCACTCCGATCGAAGCTGAAACAAAAGCTCTTTTGGAAGGTCTCAAATTAGCTCAAGAATATGGTTGTGATTGTATTGTGCAATCTGACTGCCAAGTGTTAGTCAATGCTCTAAATCAAGATCCGAGAAGTTGGCCATGGCAGTTTCACGTAAAATTATTGTTAGAGCTGATTGGGCGGCACGGTCACTTGCTAAATCGTCGCTTCCAAATGACTGGATTAGTATTCTTGACCTAATTTCAGATTTCTTTTGATGTTGTAACCTTGTTTCTCCCTATTGGTGTTGGAATAAAAGATGATCTTACTGTCAAAAAAAAAAAAAAACAGCCATCAGCTTTAGGGTCACTTCCTGCTACAGATTAACGATGAAATTGTCGTTTAAGACAACCAACTCCCTAATATTCAACATAATGGAGCAGAAACCAATTCCCTGATGAACTAAAGGGTGATGGAGGATAATATGCATCTCACTGCAAAATTGCAGGACTGTAAATACAAATACATGCTGCACGCTTCTACGCAAAAAAGGATGCCGATTTCAGTGGGCCTACAGAATCCCTGTTAACAATTCATTCACAGAGTGTTTGCTCCTCATGTCACCGGATAGACCAGCTGCAAAAGCAGAATGTTTCAGATTTCAAGGAACCATTGCACTGGCATCATCTTCCTCGCCTGCTACAGGGGCTTCACTGAACATGTACTCATTCTGATACTCCATCAAGTACTGTGCTGATCTCTTCACGTCCAGGAACAGATTGTAAACTCTGGTAATGTCTTCACTCTCCACAAGCTTTCCTTTCCGCTTCAGGCATGCTAATGCAGCTGCAGTAATGAGATGGATGGCATATCTTAACGATGTTTCTCCACCTATATGGGTGAGCAGTGCCTTTGCTTCCTCAGACATATCCACCTCTTCTTCTTGGCACCTAATATCCAATATCTTGTGGATTTCATCTTTCGAGTAAGGTTGGGTGGTGATAATAAGAAGGCGGTCGAGCAGGTCTATTGGAATTCCATGCGGAGATTTGTAATTTGTGCCTCTAATTGTGGTGATCCCTCTGTTGGTGGCCACAACTAGTATGGGAGACATCTCGTTCTCGAGAGCACGGTTTAAGAAAGAGAAGCACTCGATATCGAGCATGTGGACTTCATCAATGAACAGGACACCGGGCACAATCTCTGCTTTCCCTTCTTCCCTCCATTCTGCTACCTTAGTGCCGATTTGCTCCCTGACCTCAGCACGAATTTCGCCAGTGTCACCGGTGAATAGAGCTAGAAATCCCTGTGTTCTGCAAGTGCAAAATGTACAACTTAAGAAAAGCATAACAAGGCTACGTAGAAAACGTCTATGAACACAAAAAAGAACACACGAAGAATTAAATTTGCATGCCACATAGAGCTCTTAGATATTCATAAACCATCAGATCTATGTAGACAAATCAAAAGCACCTCCATTAAAGCTGATGTGAATCCTCTTTGACTATGGAACACACGTCACACACAACTTTAGTTAACCATGATGAACTATAAACAGCCATTTGAGGCTGAAATAAAGACAAAGGGTACATACATACTAAAGCAGCAATCTGAGTCCTCTTTGATTATGAAGCAGTAGAACACAGACACCTAATAGACGGACTGCAGTAATCAGCAAACGCTATCCAAACGCTTCAGCCTTTTATACAAGTCTTTTTTGTGCAGAAATGTACCAGACATTAATAAATCACCCAAAGTTTCTATCAAGGAAACCAGAGAAATGCAACGGCTGAACTCCCCCTTTTTGGTTACTAACAAGAAACGCCCCTTAAGTTCTAACAGTAGCTCTAAATTCAGAAGCCAAATCCATAGTTTCTAGACATATAAATCTCTTCAGAGTATAGAATGTCGGGAGCTTTACCTGCTGTTGATGACATCAATCTCATGGAGGGTAACACAATGCACAACCTCCTTCCTCTTCTGAAGCTCACCATCGGGGCACTGAACAAACTTCACCTGCGGCCCCATAGCATCATAGTCTCTCGACCTCGCGAAGGATCTCCCAAGCTTGGTGATTTTCCCGGACGCTTTATCAATGGCGATAACATCCCCACTCTGCACTTTCTCCTTCCCTAGAGCCTCAATCATCTTGGCCCCCAAGTCATATACAGTCTCCATCTCCGTCGTCTTCAGCGTCAACTTCCCAGTCTTGGACGCCGCACCGGCCACTGCAGGCCTATCAATTTGAACTTCAACCACTTCACCCTCTATTATCTCCGTCTCCTCCTTGATTCTCACCCCAATCGCTTTCCGTAGGGCTTGCATCAGGGCTTCGGTCTTGGACATCTCGAGAGAGAAGATTTCGCTGCCGGAAATCATGGCGAATGGGGTCTCGAGACCAAGGGATTTCGCCATTCCCATTGCGATTGCTGTTTTCCCTGTGCCCGGTTGGCCGGCGATGAGAACTGCTCTTCCGGCGATTTTCCCGTCCTTTATCATCTGAAGGATGACACCGGCGGCTTTGCGGGCGGAGGTTTGCCCCACCATGCCTTCGGAGACGGCACGGGGCTCGAGAGCGGAGTCAAGGCCGAGACCCCGAATGTGGGAGTGAGCACCTATGCGCTCTACTCGGGTGAGGTCCCGGGTCTCGGAAGATAGCTTGAGCTCCGCCATCGACGGTGATGGACCGCTCGCCGGATGACTGATGAAGAAGAAAGGAGGAGCACGAATGAAAGCAAGGGACTAGAGGAGGAAAGATTTGCGAGTTAGGGTTTAGGGTTTTAGTAACTTTCAAATCGTGGGATTGCTATTCGTCGCCCTAAAAATCCTTATTCGTCGCCTTAATTAAGTTAATTTTACTCTAATGCCCTTCATCCATTCGTGTAATCCTAATCGATCAATGAAAATCTCACGTCGCCGATTCTAGAACTGCACCTCTTGGCTCTTCCTCTCTTGTCGCCACCAAGAGCAAAGACGATCACTGGAAGTCAACGGATTTCCACAAATCAAAGCTCATCAAGTGGAAGACCAACTGTAACTCTATAAGACCTTCAAGAAAAGTCATCCTACCCCTGCCGCCCTCGCGGAGGAGAAGAAGGCTTCCTCACTCAAATAATCACCATCACCACTTTCTTCGGGTAAATCACACGATCTCCCTGCGTTTTCTTTTTCATGGGTTTTGTTTGCGCTTCTTTTCTATAATTCAATTTGCCTAGTTTATCATTTTCCATTCCATGTGCTATCGACTAACAATGGTCCTTTTAGGCCATTTTTCTCCTTTGTTCATCTTTGTCAATCTTCCATTTCAGTGTGTCATCATCCACCTTCCTTCCTTCCGCTATGCCCAGCCACGACTTTTTCTCCCTCTGCTCGGCGTCGCGCTGGGTCTCCACGCCATCCGCCTTTGCCACACTCGGCGGTGGTTCGCTCCTCGTCGTCTCCTGCACAGCTGCCGTGCTGTCTTTCGCTGCCTCCTCCTCCTCTTCGTCTGGGCTAGGTATCGGCTGCGCCTTTTCCTGTTGGCACGGTATTCTTTTCGACAGCGATCACCTCCGAGGCATCGACTGAGACCACCACGGACTCCCCGTCTCGCTCCCGGCAGTTCTCGGCAATTGTTTGGTTAAGGGATATTAGGATAGAAATTTTGATAGGGGTAAATATGTCAATTTAGTTCATTTTAGGGCTGTAAAATTTGAATTCTAGGACGATGAATAGCGATTCAGTAAGGTTGAAATTACATTTTTGGTCACTAAATTTATTAAAATTAATTCCTTTGACATTCAATTTTTTTATTGTGTTTATTAGTCATGGACTTTAAAGTCCATTTTATCATTTGTCACTACTCACTAGCCTTCAAGTTTTATTAAGTTTTTCCTATTGGTGGTCAACTATAATAATTGATTGTTAAGTGAGTGACATGTCAATTACAAAGTTGGAGAAAATGTTTAATATTTTTTATGGTTCTTTTAATAAGTTAAGTTAATCTATCTATCTATATCTATCTATCTATCTATCTATCTATATATATATATATATATCTTCTATAATAAATATTATGGCTATTCAAAAATAACTTCTTGCCACATAAGCACTTGGTGAATGCACAAGTTGCCAAGGTGGACAATTTTTTTCAAACAAAAAACTATTTATTGATCTATTTATGAAGTTGTCTCTCTCTTCTTTTAATAATTCTACTCATTTTTACTAAAATTAAAATAAGTTAATTTTTTAGGAAACATTTAAACAAAAAACACACACCTAAGTAATAATTTTTTTCGATTAAACGAACTATAAAGATGGAAACAGAGAGTGACATATATTGTATTTGTTTAACCCAATCTGATTAAATCTGATTAAGTAAATTTTCTACTCATTTTTACTAAAACTTAATAATAAGTTACATATTTATGAAGAAAAAAAACAAGCACACACATAAATATTAATATTTTTCAATACAAAATATAAACGATGGTCTAAGAGAAAATAAACGTTTGACAATCAATCGACTTTGAGAAATGAACGATATGACTATATGTTTTTTTGCTATCAAACACTCACTTCTTTCTATGCATATACCTATCAAATAAAACAAGTATAAATTATATAGCAAAATATTTGAATATAAACTTAATAGAGCAATAATTGTTATTTTTAAAAAAATTCTTATTCATTTCTATTAAATGAAAACATATTAATTATTAATGCAAACTTTTAATTGTTTCTATCCTTTTCCCCATTTTGATTGTCTCTCTAGAAATAAATCCAACATTGAAAATAAGAAATCAAGAAAGTATGTCATCCATCATAAAAATAAACAAAGCCCTCTTATTAGTTGCTAAATTTTTTTAGATTTATAATATTTTTATTCTCATAATTTATAGAGAAGGAAATGGTAATGCATACGATTATTTTTCTTTGTATGAAGGAAATGGTAATGCATACGATTATTTTTCTTTGTATGAGAATAGGATGCAGAAATTACACGAGACAACGATAAGATGACAAAATTTTGAGCAGTTGTAACATATTTTTGTCTATTGACGAAAAAAGTTAATCTGATCATTGTGAAGATGAGGTGAACCAAGCCGAGGGTTGTCGACTGCTCCCTCTTCCTCCTTGATCTGAAGCTAGCAACTGGTCTCACTTTCTCAGCGATATGTTATTGTTTGTGGTTGACTGGCCGAGTTATACTCTTTTTCTCATTCTTTTCTTAATTTCTTCCAAATTACGACTGCTGGATGGTAAATTTTCCCACTCTCGATGAGTGAATATATTTCGTCTTTGTTTTTTACTGAGAAGGGTCGCCATATACTTTCATGTATATAAAATATAATTAGAAGGGTTAATTCGTTGGACTTAGGGCATACCTCATTTGGTTGAATAATTGATCGTTTTTCTTGAATGCCTATTGCAACCCGATTTCTTGAATGTTGAAATGGAAAGTAGAGTTGTGATGATTGTTTATTATATTTTATGTTCATGATTGACATGCTACTACTAGCTAGATATACAATGATGATCTGGTTAGTAATTAGTAGGTAGCAAAGGGGTTATAAGTAGAAGGGAACATAATTGAGGTTTTATAAAGGTCGCGAAGAAGAAAGAAAATGATAATGGTGGTTTCTCGGTTGTCTATTTCGATGTTTTTTTTAATTTCTACATGTTTGCGGTGACATTTGTTTCTTTCATTAAGGTGAATTTTTCTGCATTGAATCCCTAACTAAAGATTGATTTTGACATGATTGTTTTCTTACAAACTACTATTTGGATTGATCCATATATTCAGTTCACATGGATTAAATGAGTTGAGAGGTATTGAAGACTGCTCCTTTCATTATTTGTCTATGTTGTTATTAGGTAATAAAGCACAATTCTTTTCTGCAGGAGATATGTAGCTCTCTACAAAATATAAATTGTGTTTAATTATATGCAATTTAATTTGCTGATAATATTGATTTAATAAGTTAGTGATAGCTGATAGTTTTGTTTGTGGTTGGTTTTGCTAGAACATTTCAAGGTTAGTAAACAAATACGTGGAAGATTGATGGATGTGGATGCTAATGAGGGATATTCATGAGATTTAGATCGGAATATTCTCTATTATCATATACCGACATATGATAAGGGAGAGAAAATAAAAAGCTCTTCGCTTATTTTTTTTATTAATTGAAGCATATTTTCTTATTCTAACTTCTTCTTTTGTGGCCGTAAGTTTTTTAACTTCTTTATCACAATTCTGTGCTAACGAATGAATAATCTCTTATGTTTATAATCTTAAAGGGCGAGTTCGATAAAAAAAAATTCTATATCAATAAAGAACCGTCTACAAAGAGCTCAGTTAATAAAATTAAAATGTTCATAAATAAACAAAAAATATAAAAGTATGAAATAATACCTGAAATAAGGTAAGTGAGATTTACAATTACATGTATATTACCTTAGCAAACATAAATAATAATAAAAATTAGAATACTATAACGAATTATAAAACAACCAAACAAAATACACCGCCCAACGGGCGGGTAAAAAACTAGTAAACTTTTATGAAGGTTCAATGAGAAGTGTAAAGTCAAAACTTAAAGCTGCAAATATGGTTACATTAAAGAGAAAATATAAAACTTAGACATGTGTCAAAGTTGTGGTTTTGCAAGCTCTTACTCCATCTTCGCTCCTCTTAACCAATCATGTGTAACCACATTTATAATAACTTCTCTTACTGCATGTAGCTTTTTTGGTGCCCTAAACTCCTTGATTCCATGTTGACTCCTCGTTACCCTGATGGCTTGAAGAATTTAGTTGATCTTGATGGTTAGTCTTTCTGCAATCGAGATGTCTTGCTTGTCGGCTTGTCGTGGTACCCTATTTTGCATACTTGGCTTGGGATCTTGCTGGCTTGATAGGATGTGACGACTTGGGGGCTGAGACATGATTGTTGTCATGCTTGACACCTAGGTGCTTGATGGGTCAGTACGAGTGGTGGTAATGAATGCGTCCCAACCACCATAAGATAATGCATGCTTGACACTTTGAGGGCGGGGGTGTCTACATTGAACAACGTTGGATGATGTCATGCTGAACACTTATGATGACATCATTCTTGGAGTTTAGCGACGACAGGGTGTACACTAAAGATATCTCGTATGACACCATGAAATGACCAAATAATCCATTACACCTGCCAAATTTAGATAAATTTAATTAATATGGTTAAGTTTGACTTATAAATCAACCATTAGTTGAGTTTAATCCATATGGTACAAGAAAATTTTATTTGTAAACAATACAATAAAGCACGGTTCAAGAAAGTTTAACCTTACACTTAGGAGTTCGCCAATACCATAATGCCTCGCCTAGTGGTTCAACAGCGAGTTATGAATCAAGAGCACGTCGTGGAGTAAGGAGACACCACAACCTAGTAGTGATGGCACTTTGAACCCGTCCCCGTCGGGTATTGGCCGACCTGACCTATGGTGGGGCGGGTATTACCCAACCCACAATAACATGGAGCAGGGCATGACACATGTCTATCTACATCTGACCTGTCCTGCCTCGTTCTTGACCCATTCTATCTAGATTTCTTACCGTATCTATTCATATTTCTCATGTTTTGACTTTTGTCAAACTAGTTATGCTCTATCTTTCAACTAGTTAGATTCAAGTACTCATTTACTATCACTACTAGAAATAAAACCCGTGGCTACGCCGCGGGGACTTAATCTGCAGTGGGTTATGGCAGAAGCAGCTGGTCGTTTTTTCTGCGGTAAGGCAGCGCAGGGGTATGTTTGTGGTTGTTTGTTTCACAGATTAATATGATCCCAGATCGGGAAAGCAAAATCTGAAGCAAACGTGTATCTGACAACTAAATTTGCAAATACATAACCATTAATGAGTAAAGACATAGGTGGCATATACTTCACACCACATAACCAAATTCCAGCAAAACGATGTAGACAGAATTCATTTTCCATGACTGGGTAAGGAAGATGGTCCACAACATTCATATTCATGATCATAATAAATTGAGATAACTGAAGAGTTCTTATGCAGAAAAGCAAACAATGGCTAGGCGAAGTAAGACCGCAAATGCATGGGGTCCGTGCACGTTGGCAAAATAGAGCTGGTGCGCTTACAGAGGCTAACCAACGTAAGCATATAACAGGTTCCAACTGCAGCAAAATACTAAGTCCACCTTGCGCAGAACAACACACTACAGAATACTTTATGTAAATAAGCAGGTGGGCATCACAGGGGTGTTCCGCAGTGGCAGGTGGATTCAATGCCGAAGGCGAGTGGATCCCATAGGGTGATGACTTCCAAACTCGAAATCACACCATCTGCTGTCATGGAAAGTCCAATTTCAGCGGTGAAGACCTTCCCAATTGCAGATGCCAAACATGCGTTTGCAGATGCTTCATCAAGCCTGATGTAGTCACGAACAACCTTTTGCAATAGAGACGAAGCAGCATCATCGTCAAAGAGGAGGACGCAGGAGTCTGAGATTGAGATGTCCTTGCATTCCACGTTCATTCGATACCTGCAGAAGGGTGGTTTTTCTGTCATATTCAGTG